GTTATGATGTCATCATCCTGAGACAATAGCAACCACTAGGGCTGCAATGCAGCTAAAGCTTCCCTACAGGACATCAAACTTGCAGATGCAGTCAGTGATTGAGCTGCACTTCAAACTGCTGGACCACAATGAACACATATTGAATTTAGATTTAGCAGTGTTGGCAGCTGACGTCATCATACTGCGACAAACAATGGCTGCTGCTAGCCACTGTTAATGCTGCTGGAGACAGTGTTTATCTAAATTCAACATGTGTTCATTAAAAACAATGTAGGTGGTCCCTGTGGTCCAGCAGTTTGAAGTGCAGCTCGGATACCGGCCATAACCGCAGGTTTGATGTCTTGCAGAGAAGCTTTAGTTGCTTTGGTGACCTAGTGGTTGCTTTTGTCTCAGTAAGGTATCTGGGGCCGTTTCATTCAAAATAAAACAGAAACCATGTTGACATAGGATCTGAATGTGGGAAGTGGATAATCACTGAAACAGGACAAACRCAAACCTTTGTGACTGTCTCTGACAAAAAAACAGAAACAAAATGGTTGTCCAAAACACAAGTGTCAAACAAAAAGCATAAAACCAACAAGAACTCAAACCAGGACACATCGCTGCTTTTAGTGATCAGWTTTAACCATCTATATACATTTAAAAACGTCTAAATTTTAAGCGTTAAGAGACAGAAATAATGAACCCTACATTTTTTTACACTAATTCATACATTTTAACTTTTTACTCGTTATTTAGAAACTGTTAATTCAAAGTTTTCAGTTTGTCAGAAATAAATAAGAAACACTGAACAGACGTTTAAAGCAGAAATGATGGTTGTTTACTTACTAACATCATAAATGTTACATTTTATTAAAAAGAACTTTACGTTACAGAAAATGAAAACTCAGTAAAACAAACTGACTCGTAATGAAAACTAATGAATGAAACAGGTCTAGCTGTGGTTCTGGACGGAGTTCTGTCTGATCTGTGCGGTTTTCTCTGACAGCTTTCAGGAACTTGGTGCATCCCCAGTCTGATGACTTACTGTATGTTCAAAGGAAAAACAGTTTTCCTGCTCTTTATGACACATTTATTCTACGATAAATAACACAACATCATCCTGACAGTTTCCTGTGTTCCAGTGGAGACCTCTCTGCTGCTCAGAACCAAGAAATGAATTTCATTTGGTGAAACTCTGAATTCATTCATCAGCCAAACAGAAACATTTCACCTCCTCATAGAACCAGTGTTGTTATTTTAATGACATATTTAATATCTAATCAACAACAAACTGTGAGGGTTTTAAATATGACAGGTCCTTGTGAAGAGATGCTCTGGTGATTGACATGTTTTCTAACCAATCAGTGAGCTGCATAAAAACAGCATTTTAATAACAACTAAAGCTGACATAGATACTTTATTATGGTATAGTATTTAAATATATGCCTGAGAAACRCATAATATTGACCCTTTAAATAAAGTTTTCCTTTAGTCTCTTCCTTGTTGCCTGCCTTCATGGACCCCACCTCACCTTTGATCCAACAACCAGTCCCTGGATGTTACCTGTGGAGGGTCTGCACCTGCAGAAACCCACTGGTTCTAATAAAAAACAGGTTTTTAAACTGGTGCTTCATCAAACCAGGAGCTGTTTGTCTTCTGGAATTTTATGTTTCTTTTGTTTCTGGAGGAAAGAATATTTAACTTTAACCTGGTATTTATTCTGACACAGAAATCAGTTTTTTATGCTCATCTAAGTATAAATCATCCCCCACTTTTCTTTTGTTTCATTTTTTCTTCCTGGACAAGGTGGACAATACTGAACTTTGGTTCTTCATCAAGTTTTATTTATTTATTTATTTTTTG